TTGATAGTGACACTCTATAAAAAGATAGCTTTGTAACTATCATTGTGTTCTGGATAAATTTGCAGATTGCTGTTCTGATTATTGATGGATCAAGATTTCAGTCTGCTGGGTAAAAAATGTCAGAGAGCTCTGATTCTGATCAAGTCAGCTGTGAACTGTTCAGTGAAAGCACTTTAGAATTTTCTTTTGGTATACAAGATTGATAAATGTTGGAGACTTGACTTTGTGGTAATGATATCTTATTATTTTTGGTGATGAATTCTGCTAGATGTCATGTGCCAAGTGAAATTACTTGAGAGCTAGGGTTACTTTGGCTATAGTTAATTATGTATTTAGCTGTTTGCAATACAGAATTTGGGAGAGACTCAATAATTGATCTGGTTTCATTTGCTGGTTTCATTATTTCTTGTTAAATATGCTTAGAGTTTGTGAGTATTTCAGTAAGATTTTTTAGAATTTTGAGCTGCCCTTGGAGTCTCTGATCAAGCAAGACATGCTATCAGTTTGTTATCTTGCCTAGCTGAGCTATGAAATGTCCATGCAATTTTGGTTGTGTGGTAGAAGATGATTCTATTCTTCCTTCTCTGAGCTTTCTTGATAGGCTTGGAATGCTGACTAACTAACTACTATCTTTATCTAGCTACTTTCATAAATATGTACATGTCAGTTGATCTTATATTGTGAAGACTTGATGACTGAACTCTTCTTTGAAGAATTTAAATTAGAGATCAGAACATTAAGTGATTCTGTTCACTCATGCTTTCTATCTAGAATTTGTAAACTCTGCTGTAGTTCTTGAATTTTTTTCATGAGATGTATTCACTCTCTTAAGTCTTCAAGAAATTCTGTGTTCTCTGAAGATGATCTTTCAGTCTGAATTATGCTTTCATTCAAATTTATTGTTGCATTTGATGTCTTGACTAACTCTGATACTGAGAAAAGAGTTGAGAATTCAGTTTGATCTTGATTATTCTATCTTGTGAAAATCATTATTGAGCCATCTGCTTATTTAAGTGGCAAACTTTGAGAATTGAGTGGTGCAGATAACATGGCAATGATTTACAGTCTTTGTAAGTGAGATTAGATTGAATGATAGATGATTATGAAAAGATCAAATCATAAGAGAGAGAGAGATAACTTATATTGCTACAATAGTATCTAGAATCTCTAGATATGTTGCCACTGATCTTTATAAAGTAGTGTTCATGGCAGATTTTATGTGTTTAACTATGCTAGTGAAATCATGTAATCAGTCACAGAGTTTACAAATCTCAAATGACATGAAGCATGATTATCTAAGCATCAAGAAGATTTTATAAATCTCTTTTAGATGATGAGATGAATGTAAGAAGACTGCAGCATAGAGTCTTACAGACATAATATAGAAAATTTGAAACTGAAAAGAGAATGAGACTTTTATTCATATTTTGAAATGAAATTGAGACTAATTTTCAAATTTTGAGAAGAGATTGAGATCAACTCAATTGAAATTGACATTCAGTCTTGTCTCTTTGAAATTCTGAAGAGACTTCAATGGTCAGTCTAAGTACTGAAATGAAAATGAGACTTAATTTAAAGAGATTGAAATTATTTAATTAGAGGTAGAGATTCTCAATTTCCCTAAACTTAAAATAAAACCTTATTTTATACTATTTTTAGTATCAAAATCATATACAAATGTATATATGCATTTTGACTTGATGTGCCAATTTTTCTATTTTGTCATATTTTGGTGTAAAAATACACTTTCAAAATAAAGTTTGAGAAAAAATTAAAATTGTTTTAGAGATAGAGAAATCTAGAAATGGGACTTAAAATATAAAATTTGAAACTGAGAAGGGAATGGAACTAATTTTCAAATTTTAAGAAGAGATTGAGATCAACTCAATTGAAATTAACATTCAGTTCTGTTCCATTGAGACCTCAAAGGAACCCCAACACTCAGTCTATTTTGATTTCAAAATCATATATAAATGTATATATGCATTTTGACTTAATGTGCCAATTTTTCTGTTTTGTCATATTTTGGTGTAAAAATACACTTTCAAAATAAAGTTTGAAAAAAAATTAAAGTTGTTTTGAAAATAGAAAAATCTAGAGATGGAACTTAAAATATAAGATTTGAAACTGAGAAGAGAATCGGACTTATATTCATATTTTAAGAGCTGAAATTGAGACAAACTTTTGAATTTTAAGAAGAGAAGATCAACTCAATTGAGATTGACATTCAGTCTTGTTCCATTGAGATTTCAAAGAGATTTCAGTAGTCAGTCTAGTTTCATCTCAATTTCTCATTAGTGCATTAGAAATGAAATTTTTGTTGAAAAATTTCTGTTTCTGCAGTCAGTCTATTCATAACTCTCCATTCTTCTTTTTTGCAAACAAAATGAATGATTCAACTGATGATCTGAAGAGTCTGATAAACTCACTTAATAAGATGAAGTTGACATACTTTTGTAAAGTCTCTGTCTCTGTTTCTGAAAGCTGATAAATGAGATCAAACTTTAACACTGTCTTCAGCAATAACTTAATGTCTAGATTATTTCTCTGATGAGAGAATAAGAAAGTATCTTTTACATCACTAAATGCATCAATTAAATCTTTATAACTGTCTGATATCTGCAGATCTACATTCATGATAATAACTTGTTTACTTTTGTGAACTTTTATTACATAGAAGAATTTGTCATCATTGACAAGTTTATTTAGAAAAACTGACTTAATTTTCATTATAGAGTCTAATACACTCTGTTTATGAAACTTAAGTGACAGATTTTCAAATGAAACAACAGAATCATAATTGCTATCTGATTTAATGAAGCTATAAAATGTCAGTACTATTTTAATTGTGTAGTAGAAGATGATTCTCTGTTCTCTCTCTAGCTTTATAAGTAAGCTTAAGATTCTGACTAACTAACTAACTATTCTGATATTATGTACAGTGATAATTTCATATCAGTTGTCAGGAAATATTTTTAAGAGCAGTGCTCTCACTGAAAGCATGTGTACTGAACATATAAAGTTAAAATAATCATAGTAGAGAAAGTTGAAAAAGAAGAACATTTTCTCAATAACTGTTTTATTGATCAATTTAGAATGTGTCATTGAATATAGAAACTTGTTTTGAGCTAGAATAAACATGATTAATTGCATTAGTGCATATATTTTAATTTAACATTGAGAATATTATTCTTCATCTAACATAAAGTTCTTTCATAGCTGTAGAATGTGAATTAAATTCTATTCTAGTATGTTGGTATTATCAATTTAAGTTAGATTTAAATAATTTTCAGTTATTGCTTCTAGTGCTCACAGATGAGCTGACTGAACTTCTTATGAATGATTAGAAAAACATAGCACTTTGTATCTGATGATTATTATTATTATTATTATTCATTATAGTCTTGTGCAGTCTGAAACTATGAAGACTACCTGCAAGCTTTCTTGCAGAATTTAACTAAGTTACAAAAACAATGATCAAAGACATGATCATAGATAAATTAACAAATGAAAAACATATAAGAGTGTCAGAATAGTGATTTATGTCTTTTCTTTACAGAAATTTGAAAATAAATAATGAGATTGTAAGTGAGATCTTTAAAGATACTCAGTCTGTTTCATTTAGAAGTCATCTTCTGATATCTATTTCAGTTTATTTGAGAAACTTTTCCATCTATTTCAAACTTAATTTAGTGTTAAATAGAAACTTAAGTGACAGTTGTGAAATTTTAAACTCTTTCAAACACTGTTGTCTATCATCTTTTAGAATTGAACAATTCAAGAACAGATGTTTTGATGTTTCTTTGCAGCTACAGTGTCTGCAGATTTCTCTGTCATGATCTGGTAGTTTTATTAAGTAAGAACCAAAGTAACCATGACTCAATTTCAACTGAATGATTGTTGATGAAATGTGTTTGGGAGTGTATTTTTACATCAAAATATGACAAAATAGAAAAATTGGCACATCAAGTTAAAATGCATATATACATTTGTATATGATTTTGGTACTAAAAATAGTATAAAATAAGCTTTTATTTTAAGTTTAGACAAATTGAGGATCTCTATCTCTAATTAAAAAATTTCAATCTCTTTAAATTAAGTCTTATTTCCATTTCAGTACTTGAAATCAAGTCTCAGTCCCATCCCAATTTCTCATTAGTGCATTAGGGACAGGATCTCAGTTGGGAAATCTCTGTCCCCACAGTCAGCCAAGTAGAATCTCATTTACTAGATTTCATAAAAGCTGAGATGTAGCAGGAAAATCATGATTTGTAAGAGTGTCAATATGCCCTAGAAGAGCTTCTTCCTGCACATCTGTAAGATTTCTTGAATATAGAGAGGCAGCTTTGTGTCTAGAGACTTATATGTCTTTAAAGCAACATATCAATGTAGTTATGTTGATTTCATACTTTTTGACAGTTTTGGCATAATTAGAAGTCTCCTGCAAGCACAGATCTTCAATCACCAATTTAATAGCAGCTTTGTTGGTCATTTTATTGAATTTTGAAAGTAGAGGTCTATGGTAGAAAAATCAGTCGCTTTGTGGGTTAGGTCGTTCGGTGATGAATTACGTTAGTTTGTAACTTTACTCCGTAATGTTACATATATTTCGACTGAGAGACGACTCCGCGGGGAACTTATCCAAAGAAGCACTGGGGTTGCTGATATATTGACTTCGTTATATTCTTTTTCCGCCATTCTGGAGACCGATACAGTTCACCATGAACGCTCTACTAAGGCGTCCCTTTCTGGGAAAGGCCAATTCCCTCTCGTCGGTTTCTGAGAGACGCGCTTTTTTAAGCCTCGTTAGGCGTCGCACCCAGGCGAGCCTGCCCGGCTCTTTCTATCAACCACGGTGTAGTATCGGAGCTGGAACTCATGCGTCTATAGAGTCCTTAATTACTCGTGGTGCAGGCTGTGGGAAGACAAGCCGAACTTATGCTTCTACAGTATTGAGCAAAACTCCGCTCTATGACCTGCATCTGGAGTACGGAGCTAAGATGGTGCCGTTCGCGGGATACTCTATGCCGCTACAATACGCGAACCAAAGCCACCTCGAAAGCCACCATTGGACGAGGAAGCACTCTAGTTTGTTTGATGTGAGTCATATGTACGTCGCGATTAAATGCACCAGTCTGCCCTCGTTTTGTCGACACTGCTGATTTCTCTCAACAGGGTTCAACATCACCTTATTGGCCCTGGCGCGAAAGACCTTCTCATGAAGATCACTCCTTCGTCTCTCGATACTTTAAAAGACAACTGTTCGACGCTTTCTTGCCTTCTCGAGGAGAGGACAGGCGGCATCATCGATGACACGGTCATTACTCGCCTCGGCTGTGAATCATTTTACTTCGTTACGAATGCAGGGAGGAAGAAAGAGGATTTGGATTTCTTAACTAAAGAAATTGAGGCTTTTAAACAACTACACGATCCATCGACTCGTGCGTCTGTTATCCACTGGTCTATTCTCAACAATAGAGCTCTTGTGGCTCTGCAAGGTCCATCAAGCGCTGCTGTTCTCCAGCCCCTCATTACTCGTGGAGAAGCGTCTGTAGAGACAGACCTTAGCACGCTCTACTTTGGCCAGACCCGCCAGTTGCACCTTACTTTTCCTGACGGCTCTCATACCCCTGCGCGCCTTTTGATTTCTAGGACCGGGTATACTGGAGAAGATGGTTTTGAAATTTCCATACCCACAGATCAAGATCCGCAACTTCCACGTCGCATTACAAACCTTCTCTTATTGAACTCGGAAGTTCGGCTTGCTGGCCTTGCTGCCCGTGATTCTCTCCGTCTTGAAGCTGGGATGTGTTTATATGGACATGACATAAGCACTGCACACACACCTCCTATTGCAGGGCTTAGCTGGGTTGTCGGTAAAGAGCGTCGTGACGTTTCGTCGCAATTTTCAACTTTCAACGGATCTTCGGTCATCCTCCCGCAGCTAGCTTCTCCCGGCAAGATGCTAAACGAGCGGCGCATAGGTCTCACAATCGAGGCGGGGGCACCTGCCCGCGAGGGCGCCGCTATTGTTGACTTGGCTGATGGAATGACAAAGGTTGGGGTTGTTACGTCAGGACTTCCTAGCCCTACACTAAATGGCACCAACATTGCCATGGGCTATATAAAGCAAGGCTTCCACAAGAAGGGCACCGAAGTGGGTGTCCTTGTGAGAAAAAAGCTGAGAAAGGCAACCGTCACCCAGATGCCCTGGATCGAGAGCAAGTTTTATAGGGCCTAGATCAGAACCCTCTCCACCTCCATTCCCCTGCTTTACATATCCAGAAACGTTCTTTCAAGGGTCCCTAAATGGCTTGTATGTGCTCCGTAACGCACCCATTTTAAGTTATTGGTCATTAGGTGTGCTGCGATCGAGCCTAACCCCCGAACTCGGATTCGACATTGTAAAAAATGGCAAATCATGAGATGTTGTTTTCTTTGTTGTTATTACCAATTTTGTACCAAATTTCGGTGCTTTAAGTTATTATCCAAAATATACTTACGAAGTACTATAGATATATTGTACATATGTACGATCGCTAGTTTAGGGAAGTTATCGAGGGTCGAAAACGGACCTTAAAAACCCGCGCACGTACAGCGGCTACAGCCTCGAAAACCGTGTCGGGTGTGGAACGTGAAACATGCTACTGATATTCACCCTCATGTCCGGAATCATCTTCGTCATTTGTTTCATCTCAGTGTCCTGCGCCAAACGTGGGGTGCAACATTGTCGTATGAGGTACGGAGTACTCTGTATCTAAATTTGTGTGCCGTTAGTAGCAATTTAATAATAATAATACTACGAAGCAAGAAGGGAATGATGGTCGATGTCAGATGAGAAACCAGGGTGGGCCTGGCCAATGCCTCTGATATCCTCACCGGCTGATCTGTAGGAGCAGGAGCAGGGGTACACCGCACAATACGGAGTACTCCGACATATTACTAATTGATGACTTGAGGGGCATCAAAAGAAGCTTATTAGTCAGATCATTATTCAATACTCCGTACCTATTTTGCAATTCTAAATACGACACACAATCACGACAGTAGTTTGAGATTTCCCAATATCTGTTTTTTTATTGCAAGCAATCATATAGTGTTTAGAATATCGCGCCCCGGGTTTTCCGTTACATTGTTCTGGTCGATCCCTCAAATCCCTGCTACCCTTTTGCTATAGGCCCCCTGTTCGAAACCCTTTAGTCACATTTCCTTGCATGTTAGCCTGTCTCATTGTTGCAAGGACCCTCCTCTTATCTGATTAGCTTGCAGGTGTCGCAAAACCAAGCTGGGCATTTAAAAGCAGCCCGCTGCCCCTTCGTTCCTTCATTGAGTCAATATACCAAACGCACCAGACAAAAATGGCAACGTAAGTATCCCGCAACTTCCTATCGGGCACCTGGGCCTTGTATTGCAATCACTCAATTGTCATTTAGCAATATCACATTCCATCAAGCCGCTTTCACCCGGGCTGAGCGCACCAAACTTCGGGGTCAGCGAGGTCTTACCATTTGGCTGACTGGCCTCTCGGCTTCTGGGAAATCCACTGTTGCTGTGGATCTCGAACACTATCTTATCGCTGAACGTGGTGTCGCTGCCTACCGCCTCGACGGAGACAACATCCGTTTTGGCCTCAACAAGGACCTTGGTTTCGCCGAAGCAGATCGCAATGAAAACATCCGTCGTATAGCAGAGGTTGCGAAGCTATTTGCCGACAGCAACACTATTGCCATTACGTCTTTCATCTCCCCATACCGAAAGGACCGTGATACCGCGAGGGAGTTACATGCCGCACCCACAGATGGAGAGTCGGATGGTCTTCCATTCGTGGAAGTTTTCATTGATGTGCCGGTTGAGGTTGCTGAGCAAAGAGACCCTAAGGGACTGTATAAGAAGGCAAGAACCGGTGAGATTAAAAATTTTACCGGTATTAGCGCGCCATATGAGGCTCCATTGAACGCCGAGGTTCATATTCGAAATGATCAGATACCTGTGAGGGAAGCCGTGGAAAAAATCGTGGCATATCTGGACAAGCAGGGTTATCTCCCCCCTAAACCTCCGGTGAACTAAGCTTGTTCCCTTCTCATCTTCCTCTTGTTAATGATAGAGAAACATCCATAGAATGCATGCAGTTTGACGAGGCTACTTGACGGAATATCTGGTTCTCTTGTGCTTCCAAAATGACCCTTTTTAAAAAATTTCTTCGGAATCAGCATATCAACGGTCAAGGTAGGTAGGTGTGGGGGCATGGTAATAGAATAGCGCCAAGGATGATGTACGAAACAACACCCATTTCGATTATTTACTCAAGCTCAAATTCATAGTAAACATAAGCCGTGTAGTCCGCCCCGCTCTCTCCACTCGCAAGGTGTTGCATTTCAGATTCATCCTTCCGAACACGACCCTTCTTATCTCGAATGAAAGCGTTACCTCCAAGATAAGAATATGAATCATCCAGTAGAGCTTTGGTTTTTCGACTATTTTTAGAAGTTGTCTAGCAAGTTGGTTAGTGTGCTGGCACACGACGGTAGCGGTATGCGGTTCTATCACAAGGAATATACGATGGAAGGCGGGGGAGATACCTTGATTAAAGCACAGACGAAGTCCAGAGGTAACCCATACCTCAAAACTGTTTCAACAAATACTCTTAAGGCCAGAAGATGAATCCAGGCCATAACAGCTTCGCTCCACCCTGTCCTACCCAGTCGCAGGGCTTCTCCCCATAGCCTTTTTGAATCAGCGCCGACTTGTTCAACCTCTTTCCGCTCCTGCTCTTCGCCACCCTCAACATACTTGAAGTCTCTAGGTGTCCACTTATTCTCTCGGCATTTGTGGACAAATTCATGGCTGTGTTTCCTAAATGTTGTCACTCCGTATAGCGTAAAGTCATCGTCTGATGCGATACATGTCGCAGACCGTGGCACAACCATCGGAGAGAGCGTTTCGTAGGAACGAAGAAAGTTCTTGCTATCTCGTGAGGGGATAGCAATGAGATGGGTTTCTATGTACTCGGAATTCTGAACGAGCTGGCGTGGGTCAACTATTCCTGCGAGAGACCTCGTAGCTAAGTTTCCTCTGTAGCAATTCATCTGTGAGCTTATGTGGAGAGAAGGCTTTGGCTACACAATGTGGTATATCAATAATACATACGTCTGCTTCCTCTGCAATGTAGCTAGACTGGATTTCACTTGGTTGTACTGGGTAAATTTAGCGCGTAGATCGTTATCAATGCTGGTCGTCTCCTACAGATCGAACGAAAAATGTAAGTTCCTGCAGAAAATGACATTTACCCTGTGCACATACTTTTTGCAGTAGATCGATGAGCTCTGACAGTGGTTTGTCTGCTCGATACTTGACTTTATTCCATGAGAACGTTCGTAGGTACTGATCAACAGGCTCTATATAATTGCAATCAGATCTGAAAGGGGCGGCTTTGGGGATGTAAAGGATTGAGGTGAAAATTCTCCATACTATCATTGACCATCCTCATACGCTGCATCTGCTCTTCATCGCCTTCTAGTATGCTCCTCAGTACGTCCCCTATCTTCCCTACCACTGTTTGACATGTAGCTTCGGCCTTGGCCAGCTCATCTGCTTGCTGCACTAGAGCATCTAGGGTCCCGATTTTGAACTCGGGTACCTGGAAGGCGGTTACTACGCCATTCTCGGAAGAGGCTGTTTTGGTGATGGCATTAAATGCGTCGTCGCGGTGATGGGAAGGGGTAATGGAGTTCGGAAGAGAGAGGAGGATGTACTTATTTTGTTTGGACATTGCCAAGGAAAAGAGAGGTAGAAATGAGTGTATTAGCTTAACACAGACATGAGCTAAAAGTATGGGAGGAGAGTGTGCGGTCTCAAGGTTTGATACTGGCAATTGCCTTGGTGTTGGAGTTGTGTAGATGTTTGCCTCATACCCTCAGAACTTCTTCCACTTTGGATGAGTCAGAAATGGGCTAACGTAATTCCTCACCGAACGCCCGATCTCACCCAATGACCGCTTCTTATGAAATTTTAACAACATCTAAAACATTTTTCATAAAGATAGAAGGAAGTCAAAAAACTCTGAAATTTCTATATAAATTTCAAATTTATAATTTAAGCTTATAATCTTAATACTGAATGTCTGATTTCAAAAATTTAATACAATATGAGTTACTATACATTCTCTTTATTACTTCAGATCCATAATATATACTACATCTGATTCAATCTGCTCAGCATTATTATATTTTTCTGTTTGATCATTTAATTGAGATAAATAAGATACAGATTACAGAATGATTACTTCATGATTTTTTAAATAAATACAAATTTTAAATTGAATATATCTTTGTATAACTATTAGCTACTCTCAGATTTAGTATGAAAATTCTGAGGCTGAGAGTTGTGATGATTGAATAATTGAACAAAATGAAAATTTCAGACTGCATTCATCACAAAATAAGTAATCTTGAGAGAAGTCTTATACTGAAAGAATTAGTATATTTTTTGATTTTTTGATTTTTTTTTTGAACAATTATATGCATCACTTTTGACATTATTAAATGTGGTGGTTGAGATATTGAATGGTCATAGTTAAAGAAAAGTTGTGTCACAACAATGAAAACTGACTCAGATCTTCAACAGATATTGAAGAGAAGTCTCAATTCAGCCTAGTGTATCTTGGCATAGACCCACCCTTAGGTAGTTAGTAGACGGCTCTTCAACATACGGTGAAGGTCTGAGGTTATGAGGCAAGTACCTAGGTAACCGCGGCTCACATGAAGTTGCCCTATGTACTCCGTACTTTTATTGGTTAGTTGGTTTGTTATACAAAGTATAAAGTACTCCGTCTAAAAGGTTACTATGGATTCCAGTTAAATGATTACATGTATGATGTTTGTACTCCATATATGTACATAAATATCCATATCCATATTCATATAAATATACATGCAAAATATACTCCGTATATATATACATACATATAGCACACTCATACCAGCTGTTCGTCAAACTGGTCTAACACTCTAAACGCAAGGGCACAAAACAGGAAAAGGCAATGCCGCCTGTGGAAAGTTGATTGGGCCTCATCGTCTTTCCCAACTTCCGCCTTCCCAGTTTCAAAACCGCTGTGATGTCGGATTCTGTAGGTATGTCTTCCTTTGGGTTAGTGCCTTAAGGTCGAATATTTGAAGACTTGTTCGACCCAGCTTCCTGATAACATAGCTATTTTTCTATAACTCAGATCGTGTTTTTGTTCATGCGCTCAACACCGTTAAAAAGATTCCACGAACTGGGTCGGCGCGACCGCCGCCAGCTGATCGCTTAAAACTTTATGGATTATACAAACAGAGCATGGGTAATTATTCTGCATCATGCCCATTTTTTGAAATGGTACCTCATAACTAATACGATCTTTCTTACTCAAGAGGGAAATGTTCAGGGGGTCATGGCGCGCCCAGCTGGCGAGGGTGCTGACGTGCAAGCTGAAAAAGAAAAATGGCAAGTTTGATTTTACGATGCCTGGTTGACCTGTGTTTTGTTAGCCCTAAAACTAGGTGAGATAACATTTTAATAGGGATGCATGGTATACCCAAAGAAACCTATCACGAACGGAAGCCAAGCGACGCTATATCACGACACTCATAGAGACAATGCATAGATATGCAGCCCCGAGTCCTGAGGCTCGAGAACTTATATCTGAGCTAGAATTTGTTTGGGACCAGATAAAGTCAAATACTGCATCTTCATCCTCTTCTGGTCTAGCCCACTTAGATTCTCCTCGATTTAACCAAGGGTACAGTTCAATTGGGCGCCAAAAGTACTCAGAAAGAGATTCGCGACTAAGAGTCCTAAGCCCTGTCAGTCAACCCGGGGAACGAAGGGCTAAAAGACAAGATCACAAACAAGCAACAGAAGATGGTGAAGAAATGCAAGAAAAGTGTGAAGATAAAGAAATAGAGGTTCAAGAAGACGGCGATCGTCATGATGATGATGATGATGATGAGTTCCAGGAAGCACAGGACAGTTTCTACAGAGACGAAGAGCAACAGAAGAATGACTTACGACAGCGAAGGGTCGATTCTGCTCATGTTAATGATAAGCAAACTCGTAGATGGCAGCGTCGAATTGAACAGGCACTGACGAAAATGACCACCGAAATTGTTGCGATGAGGGAGCTCATAGAGTCGCGTACACATCATCAGGGGCAGAGAAAAAGCATATTGAAATGGATTAAATGGCTCTCTTGGGTTATTCTGAAACAGTTGCTCTTGGACATTGCTGTTCTTGGGCTGATTTATACATGGATGAGGTTTCGAGGAGACAGACGGCTAGAGACGATGGTAAAAAGTATATGGAAGAAACTAAGTAATAAGCCCTTAAGAATTTGCTTTCTAAAATATCTTCCGGCATCAACATTGTGAGGCGCATGGCCTTCAATATTTAGAGTACTATGCACACTAATTGTGGCAGATATTGTACATTAAGTTTCCCTGGCTTATTTGATTTCTCGTATACTAAAAGCTTCAAACTGTCATCTCTTATGAGATACATGAAATTGTTTGCAAAAAATTGCCAAACCAGTCGTTTTTGGGGGCCGGTTAGAGGAGAGAATTCCATGTCGATTTTTCCAAAACACCTTCGAACCCCAACACGCACTTAGCCAGCCACGGAATGGGCGGGCAACACCGAGATACATAATGCGCAACTATGGAACATACAGGAGGCCACAGATTACGGGATAGTTACATACCCATGCCAGGTTTCCCCTACTTTTCCAATCTTTAAACTCGGTACGTAAAGTACTCGGTAAACAAAGTACTTCGTACTGATAATCTTCGCAGTGATTCATCATTGACCCATAGATAGATGGCGCCTTTGGAAAAAGACAAACAATGCTTTTTCATTGGAGCGCGATGAAAGATACAAAAAGATTGGGACTGCAATAGAGCAGACACAATATTGCAGCCTGTGTTGGATAAAATGCCGTATTCAACAATAACCCATAACTAGACAAGACATTTCAAATGCATGGAAAGCGACTATGCTTTCTCTCAATACATTTTTTTCAGAATTTTTTAAAATTTCTAGCAGACATCATAAACGCTGTTGAACTAATGTGTACACTGAATGTTACCGATGTGATGATGCTTTGAAGGGCGCAAATATCTGCTCGCTGCGCAAATGTACTGGGGTTTGGCCTGCTGGCGTATCCGGGATAGACTTTTGAAGTCCCTAGTACAAAAGGCACGTCAGCAGGATAGAGAATAGAATGGAAGGGGTGAGGGGGAGCAAACAATTTTGTTGAATACACAATCGTTGAGCTTCCGCTCCGGAATACGGCAATGCCACATTTGTTGGTTGTTGTTTTCAAGACACTGCCAATGGCTCCGAAATTCATCAAGGCAGTGGATGTTTAGGTCCTTTAGGCTTTAATATCAACAGCAATCAGCCACTGATCCTTTTAGCTTGGGGGACAGAGGGCATACACGCTAGCTGCACAGCGCGTGACTTTACGGCCTTCCTTAAGACATTCTAATTCACCCTTTCCATTGGAGTCCTGCTTGCATTTCATATAATCATCATTGAAAGCTTTGCAGCGATCACCAATGAAATAAGAAGCACTCATCAAGGGGGCCGAGGTCGCTCCAATTTCTTCTACTTTTGGGATACGATCAGGCATCGGGGTGGTATCGATGAGGACATGCTGATTGAATCTAATTCGTATTGTTAAATCACTGATACATATCTATTAAACGTTGATGATGTCGTACCTGGCTTGTCGAGTTCCAGACATTTTTAAAGTCAATGTGTTATCCCCTGAATCACAAAGCTCGCGGTTGTAACTTCGTTCTAGCTTCAGCCCGATTTGTCGCTCACTATTCTGTATTATGTACCAATTAGTTGGCTGGTTAGATATAACTACAGTGCGGAGTACTGTATGTAATTAACAACCTGGCCTCATTTTCTTTGCCCGCACGAAGTGTTATGTAGTCTGTTGCTCTCGCTGACATAATAAATAGCCTTTTTAAAGAACAAACTCCACTCCTTGGTCCAAGGATCTTGCTTCGATGGTAGCTAGATGTGCAGGCAAGTCTGTAAACTTCATATCTCCTTTAACACCATAGCTTAGCCTTTGTCTCATATGTAGTTAGTGGTTAGTGATTGAGGCAAACTACAGACAGAAACAAGCTTGAACCTTTGTTTTTTCCCTTTAATGATAAATACTAAATAGCAGCCAGAGCTCTCTGCCCACCAACAGTTCAACAAAGGGTTGAGGCTACAATACCCCAGTTTTTGCCAACTAATGATGAAAGATTTACATGTAAATGTAATGTGCAATTATTCCAAACCTAATGGATTCAATGTCAATACCCATACAACTATTAGGACGATTTACGAGTGATTTCAGGGAAGTCACAACTCGAAATACAGTGTTGTTGTTTAATGAACTTGATCTACCTGAAGTTTCTTCCTGTTGCCATTGCCAGTATTATCTTTTCACACTTCCTTGTTAATTCAACATCTCCCCTCTCGATCATTTTTTAAACTATCCGCATCTTAGAGACTGCACTTTCTCTCAAAATTTGTTCTACTATAGGCGCCTGTGTGAAATGGAGGAGTAAGGAGGAATCTTCACTTGTCTTCTTCGTGAACCCACTTGCTAACAGGGAACAGATATGAGCTTGTTGGTGCTCAAGGTGAGCTACCCTCAAAGGCTCCAGGTTATTTTCTTCCTATTTGTCAGCAGTCCTAACAAAATATAGAATGGCTTCTTAATGATAATAGACCATCACTGAATAGTACAACAAGCTGTCAATACCAAAAGAGCCTAATATCAGGCAACCCTGCGTTTCCACAATCTGGTGAACGGACGAGCTTACCTCGCATTCAAGATAGTCGAGGCGTTCAAAAGTCCTGCACCCCATCCTCATCCCTAGATAACTCTCTGGCCACTCATGACTCCGTCGTTCATGAGTCTAGCGCAGATATCCATGTTATAAAGCGCAAATTGCCGATGCATTACAAGTTTTCAAGCCCAGTGCCATTGGCCGGCACTGACCCTATCCCCACCAATCTTAAAAGAAGTTCTATGAAACCTGGTTTACATATAATACGCACCCAAGGTTTGGGAGACAATCTAGCGCGAGCTGCATGGAGAGCAGGCCGTCCCCGAATCGGTAAATGTATATGTTTTGCTTTTTGAAATATGGACTAACAGCTAATTATAGGCCAAATCAGACTCCCTGTTCCATATGCAGAATTGAAACAAAAGTATAATTCGTACGAGAAGTGGACGAAATAGTTGGCTGATATAGTGTAGAATCATTAACCATAGTGATATCAACGTAGCTGGTGAAACAGAGCATGCTTTCCTTGAGAAAATCATGCTGCACTCTAGCACCTTCATCCCTCTACCCAACAACAACGATCAGGTATTACTATTTGCCCAATTTGATTGATTTGGCTAACTACTTTCTCCATACAGTCCTTGCAGGTTTGGGGTACTTCCAACCAGCTCCAGGTTGCACGTGCTCTGGTTTCCAGTGCCCTATCTATTCACATGCCTCCTGAAACACAGATGAAGAGGAAATCAAATCACTTTGCAAAGATTACATCATATTCTGAGCAAAAGGAAGAGAGGATTACTAAAGATGCAAAACACGAGGCCATACTCCAGCTACTTAGACAAAAGCCTACTGCAACGCTCAAATTCCCGGAAACAGTAAGGTTTATATGATATTTACATTTTTCCTTGTGTATAGACTAATACTAGTATAGTTGGTGTTCATCTGGCCAATCGATGAGCTGCCAATGGATGCATGCCTTGGGCCTCAATTAGAAGCGCTTGATCCCTTACGGTCTGAATCTGGATGTCCCATATATGTGGATGACCAATTACCAAACTATATCCGCGTGGATGCTTGTGATCATGATACAATACTGAGAATTGCACATAGACTTCGAGTTGAATGGGCGAAAATACTTGCCGCAATGCACGTAAAAGTGAAACTATACCTCGTCCAACCTCCAAGAGCTTTGACAAAATGCGAAGTTCGGATTGATCAGGCGCCCTCCTACAACGGTGCTGTTCTCTGCAATCCCATACTCCATGGTATATGTTCAGATTCAGCACTTTTCTACAATGAGAATCAAGCACTTCGCGCAAAAAATATGAGCCTGTTACGTGACTCCGTTACGCGTTCACTGCAAGGGCTACGTTTTCTTCGAGCTCATGTTCGAATGCGAGTCAGTTTTGGAAAATTTATACTAAATGATTATCGCGTTCCACAAGGAGGAGCCCGCTATTCTTTCGATAAGTTTAGGGATATGCTTTTACATTCTAAAACAAAGGGAAATGTAATTCCGGGGTAATGCTTAAACTCCGATTTTTCAAATTACCGGGCTCATCTGGAATTAGGCTTGATTCTGAACCCTTTGGTGGGAGTATTTTGACCAGAATCGCATCTGCTACCGACATTTTGTCACCCTGTGGGGCTAACTCATTCTCACTTGAGAATACTCAGCCTCTATACACAGTCAATTTTGAATTTATGGGAGAACATTCTTCATCTTTGCAGCTTGAAACTGAATTCGCAAAATCCCCCGGCTCTGGCCTTTTTGAAGTCTCTCAACGACGGTGGATACGGCCACAGAACGCGGTTGATGTTGGCGACAAGCACCCACCGTTGCAGGTAGCTGTGATTGATTTTGAGAGGTACAGTACGATGCGTCATTGCCTTGAGTTTTCTCACTCACAATACTCTAGCTGCCATTGGCAACTCGAAATTTGCGCTCTAAATTTTCAACCTTCTTCGAGCATTGCGCAGTCGCTTAGAGCTTTTGCCAATTCAATACACTTCAAACCCGATGCAAACCTTGGTTTCTGTGGTAACATCACACGAAGAGTGACATTTTCACATCTTGCCCCCATTAACAGACTTGTTGAAAAGACCGCCCTCCGCTACCAGCTGAAGGAAAGCAGCTATATATTGGAAGTTGCCCGCTACGATACGTACATCCGCGCGATCTCAGGTACTAAATTGTCAGATACTCCTATGACCACTTGGGGGGCATCTGTTTTTGATGTTCAATGGGATAACCTGCTCGGTCAACATGCGAACATTAAGCTGGGATATGCACCCGAATGGACTCCATCTTTGAGTACTTGGTTTCCTGATCTTCACCATGCAAGATCCACAGACGAATGTAAGGGGTTTGAACAATTCATAGATCTTATCCACCGAATCGCCCTTCTTCTAAGCCCCAACGCTATCCGCGGTTCTGTCGTTCATGAAGATATTACTATAGGATCCCAGAGTTCAGAAAGGCCCGCACCCAAGTGCGATACCGCCATACGGTCTTCTACGAGGTAGCGCATATTCAACTTTCTCAGGCGGCAAGTATCTGGCTTAGGTCGCGCTTGGAACAGATAAAAGGCCTGCCATACACAATAATTTTGTGTACAACACTTAGGAACAATTACAGCTAAGCGATCCCAAATGACGAGTTCTTTAACGAGGAGATCGACCATAGTTATCTTTCAATCGTAGATAGGTCTATTTCCTGTAAACACACCCAAGGATCGGATGCGGGAATTCGTTTCTACCATCCCCCCGTTCGCAAATTCCGCACTACACCAAGGTCTTAAAGACAGATGCATCACGATGGTTTTTTTATTTCCCGATGGCTCATACATATGACCATAAGCAATTGTGTGCCCAAGAATCTTGATATCAGATAGACGTAGTATTGACGTAGTGAGCCAAAATGATGACCAGCATCATTGAGCTGTTTCACTCTCAGGAGCCATTCGCACGAATATACTTCGATACTATATTTCAATGCTTTGGATGTTATTTCATTTTTTTTATCGAGGGTTGCTCTTAGCATGATCTTTAGGTATTCTATAAGTCATAGGCCCGACGACGAGCGGCAGAAGAAGTTGATACCGATAAATAAAATGCTACAATCCAGCTACATCCTCAGCTGAGATCGACTCACTCGCAAGAAGCTTCTGGCGTAGAACTATCCGCATGTCAGGACAGCTTCGGCTATTCACAATGGATTGATAAATAAGATCGAGCCAAACATACATACCATCTTCAATGATCCTGATATTAGTACTTTTCGCTTGTAATACCTTCTCTAGGTCACGTAGATTCCCGTGTAGTGCCTCTACTTTTCCGTCATAAAAAAGAGTCGCTTTCGCAATTGACTACAGTTTGACAACAGCATTCAAGTTTGTTAGGAAATCGGATCCAATCAAAACATGGCACAAACCCTTGCGCCTTTCTTCGACAGCGCCATACCTTCTCAACATAGAAGCCCGTTCCAATATCCAAAATAACCTTTTCTTTGCCAGCTAGGTGACCCCTCACATATAATGAATTCGTCAACGGAACCAGAATTCTATTTTCGTCAACCTTAGAGATAGAAGAGTTGTTCCTGGCCAAGCTATCATTCATGGACCGGATACATTCTCTAAACTTGGACTGTGCTGAGCGAAGTTTCGCATGGGAGACTGCGAGGTGCTCAATTTCACTGTTCAGTTGCGATTGAAGGCTCTGTAGTTGGGGAACAGAGAGGGCGGCAATATCAACTGATATCCATTGGTAGTGCTAGTGATTAGCATATGTTGTCATTAAAAGGTTAGTGATAAGCCCTACTTGCTTTGTCCAGATCCAATTGAGACATGTTGAAAAAGATTGAAAAAGAGGGGGTGATGAAAGCCAAAATCTGCTTACAGATTCCCAGACCAGAAAATGTACAGTTCACAGGTTCTCTATAGTTGTTTGCAAAGGTATTAGAAAGTAGGTGAGAGTCACAGTTTTGGTGCTAATGTGGCGGTGCACGTGGTCATTTATTGTAAATAACTACGGAGGTCGCCGCCAAAAGTTTTGGTCCTCAGGGGCTTAGCGGCTGTAATATTTCCAAATGCATACAACATAATTACTGTACACTAGTGTAATCAGGCTGAAAAGAGGCCCCCTTTTGGTTTCCATCTGAGCTTTAAAAATGATTTTGTATGGAGAGCTTGATCTCTACTCTGTGTGCTCCATATTCTTTGTACATAAAGTAGAAGCTTTGAATAAGCTTTTATATAGCTAGTAGAAGCTCTATTTAATTACTACTTGAAGTTAATCATGCCTGCCACTGAATTTCATTCTCTTTCAGTAAAGATTCAAGCTCTTACTGTTCTCTCTGTTGACTATACTCTTACTGAGATTTCCAAAATCACTCAAATTTCTGTTTCTACTCTGAAGAAGATTAAGCAACAAGTTCATGAATAAGAATTTAATTATGAAGTCAATTTCTGTATACTTTTAGAGTATGTTGAGCATGAAGAGCACTCTGATCACTCAAAAGAGATTTCTGAAGAGATAGAACAGCAGATTATAGAGAATATAAGAAGAGATTAATCAGACTGAGAAAGCTCAACTGAAATGCTAGCATATAATTATAAGCTTAGTTTTCATATAGTTCATTGAATTCACAAAAAGCATGAATTTCAAAATGTCAAATCTACTTATAAGTCTGATCTTTTCATTAAAGTTAAACAGGCATGAATGGAGTTCTGTGAAAAATATAAGAACTGAATCATAGAAAATTGAAAAAATGTTATTTGAAGTGATGAGATCTCTGTTATTATGAATCAGCAAAGAGAAAATGTACAAATATGAAGAAGAGTGTCAGAGAAATTCAACAAAATCTGTATTCAAAATCACTAAAAAAACTACTCTGAATTCATGTTCTGAAGTTGTTTTTCATATGAGAAGAAGAGTTCATATCATATTTAAAAGTCTGAAACTACAGCAGAGAAATTAGAGACTCAGTATGAGTTAGATCAATTAAATGCTGATCATAAGTCTGCTTGCAAAACTGAATGAAAACTTAACTGTAAGATGAAGCAGCTAGATCTTTGAAGCAAGAGTGAGTGTAAGCCTCAATGAAGATTTACAGCAAGAAATGACAAGCTTGTACAAAACAGTAAAGAAGAAATTGACTGGTATAGATATCAAAAGATTAGTAAATTTTCATATATATTTGTTATTCTATTCCACTGATCTATTCAGTTGATTTTGAAGCCAAAGTTGATTCCATTTGCACTTAAATGCATGTAGAATTATCTCAATACTATAGTACAGAAGAATAATGCTCCATCTCATGCACATTCTTTTCAACAAAATATCTTCAACACAGCAGATGTTCAATAAATGCTTTGATCAGAAAATTCATCAGATCTCAATATGATTGAGTCAGTCTGAAATTATATGAAAAGATGTACAACAGTTTGTGAAGCTCCTGAATCACATACTGCTATGGAATGAAAATGAGTTGAGATCTGAAATGACATGTAACAAAAGTGAATTCAACAGTGAATTGAGTGCATATTTCATCATATTCAGTACATACTAGCTCTAGAGAAGAGAAATGAGTGTAGAGAGGACTGTACTGACAAGAATTTAAATCAAACTAGAAGAAGAGTTCACAAAGATCAACTATCTCATCATATTGATTTCAATGATGAAGCAAGCAATTCTGATTCAAGCATAGATGATGATTTTAAACATGATTTAAATAAAGATCTATCTCAGTTTGATGAGCTTAATTTAATAGAAACAGTAGAGGTTGAAGAGCCATAGAATTTTCAATTTAATATGGTGATTTTAGGATGGAGGGAGATGGAAGAGTGTGTACTCTGTACAGAAGCTTGTTGACTTAGTTGATTAATTGATTTGGCAGGGTGTAATTTGTTACATAGTGGTAATCTATTGTAATTTATTTACAGCTCTGTATTTTATGGGGGGACTAAAACTTTTGGCGGCGACCTCCATATGGAGTATGGGAAGCGACTTGAGAAAAGCGGCTGCGCTAAGCCTGAACCATTTGCAGGTCCCCAGGTGCCCAGGTGGGTGGTCACCAGGTGTCTTAACTGGGTAATTACTGATTCCAAACACAGATGTTATCAATTAAATATAATAATAATAATAATAATAATAATAATAATAATAATAATAATAATAATAATAATAATAATAATAATAGGTAGTTGCCACATTTACACAGAAATTACTACAGTGGTTACAACCAATTCAATGGTTAATAGCCACTAGAAACTATGAGTATATCAGCTACTACTAGAAAACATATAAAAGCTTCTATTCTTACAATACATTACTAGAGTCACTGAGTTTATGCTATCAGATAGCTTTCATCTTCATCTAGAAATCTCCAGAGCTCAATAGTTAAAACTCCAGTAATACAAATCTATATTCTCTATGACCTCAGTTCTAACACCCAGTGAGCTAGGCTACCATGGGCTACTATACAGATTCTAGTGATTACTAGTACCATTACTGGTAATTACCAGAAAGGCTACCCAATCACCTGGTGACCCATATTCCCGCCGACCCTGCAACCAAGTTACCTACGGAGGTATTGGAATCGCCACAATTCCGGTATGGTACAGACCTCCAACCACATGATTTTCACGTGCTCTTTGTTTGTCTGATAACATTACTGCCTCTCAGACTGTCAGCATAAAGTTTGAGTTGAGAAATTCAAGAGAAACCAGACATATCTTTAAAGTCAATGCAAAAACTGCTCAAAAAATTCAAAACAAAGCTTATTTTATCAGAAACAGAATCAATGATGCCTTTGTCAATGCTAAATTACTGATTGGATCCACCAATAGTATTGACTAGTCTTTTCGCCATAGGAGAGTAAGGCCGGTAGCATCGTCCTCGATTGGTTCAATCTTCCAAATGCCAAGAGTCGCGTTTCGTGGCAGCTTCTTCTTCAATTTGGGATCTTTGATTGCTAGAACCGCCATACTTGACATAGCTAGAGCTCGAACAAGCTCACTCATGCGGCCGGCCGATACAAAGCACTCTGTAAGTGATGAGGACCCAGCAACAGCAATCGCAAGCGTCATGCACTGAGCAAGGACCTCCCGACCAATCGTGCATCCTGCAAAGTATAAAGAATTATGATATAGAAGAATAATTTCTGGGAGGTAGGCCGTTCGGATCATCTCAAGCTCGGCGCGTTCTTCTATAGACCTTTGTCAGCCTGCAAGGCTCTCTCCTTAGGGTGCGTGGCTTCAACTACTTACCGTTGGCTAGCTGACAAAGCCAATCCTGGCAAAGTGGGTTCACGGCGTCGGTCACAGTATCGATGGCTCTTTGCAGCTGGTGCTGGAGCGCTCTTTTCCCATCTGGATTAGATAGCCTGCTAAATAAGTCAATAAGCTGACAGTCATGTGACAGTTTACTACGCACTGCAAGTACTCGTTGGAAAGATTGCCCCACGTTTCTATGGCCTCAAAAATTTTGACGAGAGCTTCCAGGTCTTCTACTATTTGCATCTTCAATGAGAGTTGTTCCGCATTCATTGCATTCGGGTTGAAAAAAGAACGCTGCCGTTGATGCTGTACAGCCGATTTAAGAGGACTCATGGAGCGGCGACTTCTTCTCGGGCTAATCGGTCCACCACCATTCAATTGCTGACGATTACACCAGACTTCAGCATTTCGGGAAAGCGATATTACGCTGAATTCAGGCGGTACCGGCAAGCTTGAAATATGTACACGTCGGTACAATTCTCGCGCAGCCGACAGTTCCCCGTTCCCTAATCGAATTGTCAACAAATGGACCAAATTCCAGAGGTAAACTGCCCTTACTCAAGAACCGCGTATACAAATAAGCCCCGTTCAAACATAGAGCCGGCCAATCAGTACCAATAAACCGATGCCACTCCAAACAACGAATCAGTCGCTCTTGCTGTAAAGAAACGTCGTCCCCAAAAATATTTGCAGGCAAAGCACAAACACCTTCCGGGCTGCTATTTCTTTCGACAAATTTTCCGGCGATGTTAATATGATCCTGTATATCAGGACCAGCTTCCGATAGGGCCCAAGTCCACTGACTTCTCAAAACGGCAGCCAGGTCAACCCCAATAGCTCTCAACCGGTCAACCAAATTCTGTCGTTCATCTCCTCCAGTTACATCAATCAAGACCTTGCCGAGAACCGTGTGACCAGTTTCTCGGGGTAGCAATGATGAGTAAAGTGGTATCAAATGAGTTCTACCATTTTCTCGGAGAAACTCAATATATCTAACCACATTGATAGCAACAATATTGCAGAAGTACGTATCGCCGCGTACAATGCCAACCTTGCTCAAGAGTAGATATAAATGGGCAATAATTCGTAATGAGGATTGATCGTTTGCTATGATCAACACGGGGTCATCGACGCTCATAGTTGGGTCAATCCTAGGCATAAGGGTGGATCCATTTGGGGCATTTGCGATGTTCAACAAGGCATTGGCATGGTGATAAAACAAGTGATCGAAGTTCCGGCTCAAAATCGCAGCTTGGATTTGACGATATGGATTCTTGGCCTCCTGTGCTACTCGCTTGTCTGTTTTCATGCCCACCAAGAACTTTAGGATATCATCGTGTCTGGGAGGATCGATTTTTACGAACACGTTCATGTCGGCTGAAGAGTTTAATTTTCGGAGGAATTGCTGACAAAAGTTGCCGTAACGGTCCAAGACAAGATGATTATAAAAGACATAAAGTAAATCTCCCCAGCTTTGACATACCGCATATGCTGACTCTGTTTCGCCACAAAGCAAAGCGTAGACGGCTTTTTCATACCGGTCAGCTCGAGAATCATTCGCAAGAAAAGAGCACGCAGATCTCCAGGAATCTTGAGACCTGCAGCACATCATTCGACCTAGGCCATTATCAACAGCGCTTCCGGCCTTCGACATCGGGTTTGATCCAGAAACGCTCATCGCTCTCCAGCTTTCGAGACGTTCGTACGACCACGCCCTGATGTCGCTCCAGCTTTGGCCGGATCGTAGCATCTTCCAACATTTTATCCAAGCGGCTTGTTCGTAGAACTGATCCTGCTTTTGCAGTCCCAAGCCCTGTCGTATGACGGCATCAGGATCAAGTTGGGTAATCAAAGGTGACCGTTTGGCCGAGCCTATTAAAGACGAGGTGATTCGACTATCTTCTGGTTCTAGAGGTTGTGGCCAAGACCGTAATCTTTTTGCTCCCTTAATTGTTTCCTTTGTATAGAGCCAACCATAAGCCCATAGCCCTTGAACTCGGTCAGCTTCCTGCTCTAATTCCGAGATGATAGTATCTAGCTCTGCGGTGGAGCTCGCGGTTTTCTCAAGCCATTGGAGGATGATCACATTCTCGCGAGCAAAATGATCAGCTTCGAGAAACTGTTCCCAAATCTCATGATCGGAGGAGTATCTATGAAGAGAGTGGAAAACGGTTTTTTCAGCGTGTCTGGCCTGTTCCCGCGAGACCGGATCTGCTACGGATAGGAGCTGATGTAACAAATCCCAAGTTTCCGCCTCAAGCTGCCAACGTGTTAATTGTTCCCTTACCTCACCTTCCAAGGGTTTGTCTTCGATTTTATTTGAAGCCAACTTGTTAGGTTTTTTGGCACTTCTAGCCTTCGATATGTCGCGGACATTTTTTTCCGCAATTAGCTGGTAGTTTTTAGCCAGTTTACAAGCTTCGCGAAAAGTTTGCGTCTCATTGGCACCTGGAGATTGTCGTCTAAATTGATCTAAATTGAGCGCAAATGATTCCATTTGTTTTAGTACACGTTCAGCAATGTCTTGAAGCGGATGTAAGGTTTGGTTGATGCCCAAGCTAAAAATATTGGAAGTGATAAAATTGGAGGCTCGGGAAATGGGATCTGGAGGATTCCACAGGTCAGCAAAAAAGTGAGGCTACAGTATTAGATTTAGACGCATGACCGACCGTCGTTGCTTATCCCAAAATTTGGAACTCGTTGTGCGATGGAGCTAATCCTGTTCAATACTTTGTCCTTTTCGGTGACGTCCTCGGCTCCCTCACTGTTCCGTAAGTAGTGGCAACTCTCTTCATCATCATACTCTTGAATTTCATGAAGATCGACACTCCCACTTTTGGCCATGTCCTCTTCATACTCAATCCTGCGGCTTTCATGCTCGGTTTCATTTCCCGCTTCATCTTCGTCTCCGTCTATTTCTGACTCTGCACGCATTTCTACGTCTTCCTTTGAGAAAGATATGTTATCATCGACATCTTCATTGCTATCATCATCTATCTCGACGATTTCTGCGTCGCCAGGAATTGCAGAGCCCTGACACGTGTTGGTAAATAACATTAAGAATGTGAATTGGAAGACTTACATTTGATAAGGCCGAATCACGGCAGCGTTTATGAGGCTGCAGAAATATCGACATACTAAACGACCACCAAGTAGAATGCAAACAAGTGGGTTGGAGCCTAATCGCAACGAATTTCTCAGAAGTCTCGTGGTTTGCTTCACAAAAGTACTTCCTCTGTACTCTGTACTCCGTACTCCGTACTTCTCTGTAACAAACCAAGTATTTCAGGCGTACAAATGAACACCAACAGCTTCCATGTAACTTTTATGTTGGCCATTGGCGCTAGCCGTATCCGGTTAGTAGGCAGTTATCTTGACATTAGGTTGCTTTCCAACCTTGGCTGACCTTACCGTCACTACTTCAGGCTTGAATTCTAGGGTCCCCAGGTGCCCAGGCGGGTGGTCACCAGTACGGAGGTCGCCGCCAAAAGTTTTGGTCCTCAGGGGCTTAGCAGCTGTAATATTTCCAAATGCATACAACATAATTACTGTACACTAGTGTAATCAGGCTGAAAAGGGGCCCACTTTTGGTTTCCATCTGAGCTTTAAAAATGATTTTGTACAGAGTATGGAGAGCTTGATCTCTACTCCACATGCTCCATATTCTTTGTACATGAAGTAGGGGCTTTGAGCAAGCTTTTACAGTCATCATTCAAAAGTGTTGAATGTGAAGTCTAATTTCTATCTCTCAGAAAACAATCTCTGATGAAGAAAGCAATTCTGATTCAAGCATAGATGGTAATTTTGAACATAATTTAAGTGAAGATCTATCTCAGTTTAATGAGCTTGATTTAATAGAAACAGTAGAGATTGAAGAGCTGTAGAATTTTCAATTTAATATAATGATTTTAGAATGGAGAGAGATGAAGAAGTGCATACTTCATACAGAAGCTTGTTAACTAGTCTAGTTAATTAAGTGATTTAGTGAAATGTAATTTGTTACATAGTGGTAATCTATTGTAATTTATTTACAGCTCTGTATTTTATGGAGGGATCAAAACTTTTGGTGGCAATCTCTGTAGACTGACCACAGAGACAGAGATTTCCCAACTGAAATCCCAGTTCTAATGAACTAATGAGAAATTGAGATGGAACTGAAACTTAATGATTCAAACTGAGATGAAACTGAAACTTAAGTTTGAGATATTGAGATGAAAATGAAATTTAATTTAAAGAGATTGAGATTATTTAATTAGAGAAAAAGATTTTTAATTTTCCTAAACTTAAAATAAAATCTTATTTTATACTATTTTTAGAATCAAAATCATATACAAATGTATATATGCATTTTGACTTGATTTGTCAATTTTTCTATTTTGTCATATTTTGTTGTAAAAATACACTTTCAAAATAAAGTTTGAAAAAAAAATTAAAGTTGTTTTAGAAATAGAGAAATCTAGAGATGGAACTTAAAATATAAAATGAAACTGAGAAGAGAATGAAACTTTTATTCATATTTTAAGCTGAAATTGAGACTAACTTTCAAATTTTGGGAAGAGATTGAAATCAACTGAATTGAATTTAACTTTAAGTTCTGTTCCATTGAAATCTCAAAGAGATTTCAACAGTCAGTCTAATATTTATTATTCATTATAATTTTATGCAGTCTGAAACTATAATGACTATCTGCAGACTGCCTTGCAGATAGACTGACTGCAGAGACAGAGATTTTTCAACTGGAATTTCATCTCTAATTAGACTGACCACAGAGACAGAGATTTTCCAACTGAGATTCTATTTCTAATGCACTAATGGAAAATTGAAATGAAACTAAAACTTAATGATTCAAACTACTATTTGATCTAATGAAGCTATGAAACATCTGTGCAATTTTAATTATGTAGTAGAAGATGGTTCTGTATTCTTTCTCTAGCTTTATGAGTAAGCTTGAGATGCTGACTAACTAACTAACTATTCTGATATTATGTACATTGATAATTTCATGTCAGTTGCTGAGAAATATTTTTTAAGAGCAGTGATCTCACTGAAAGCATGTGTACTAAACATATGAAGTTAAAATTGATAATTATAGTAGAAGAAGTTAAAAAAGAAGAACATCTTCACAATAACTGCTTTATTAATTAATGTAAAATGTGTTATTGAGTATAGAAACTTCTTTTAAGCTAGAGTAGACATGATTAGTTACATCAGTGCATATATTTTAATTTATCATTGAAAATATTATTCTTCATCTAGGCTGACCATAGGGACAGAGATTTTCCAACTGGGATCCCATCCCTAATGCACTAATGGGAAATTGGAATGGGACTGGGACTTGATAGTTTAAACTGAGATGGGACTGGGACTTGAGTTTTAAGTACTGAGATGGAAATGGGACTTAATTTAAAGAAATTGAGATTATTTAATTAGAGATAAGAATCTCCAATTTCCCTAAACTTAAAATAAAATCTTATTTTATACTATTTTTAGTACCAACATCATATACAAATGTATATATGCATTTTGACTTGATGTGCCAATTTTTCTATTTTGTCATATTTTGGTGTAAAAATACACTTTCAAAATAAAGTTTGAAAAAAAATTAAAGTTGTTTTAGGGATAGGGAAATCCAAGGATGGGACATAACATAGAAAATTTGAAACTGGGAAGAGAATGGAACTTGTTTTCATATTTTGAGATGGAATTGGGACCAATTTTCAAATTTTGGGAAGGAATTGGAATCAACTCAATTGAGATTAACATTCAGTCTTGTTCCATTGAGATCTCAAAGAGACACCAACAGTCAGCCTATCTTCATCTAACACAAAGCTCTTTTATAGTTGTAGAGTGTTCTTTGAATTCTGTTCTAGTATGTCAGTATCATTGATTTAAGTTAGATTTGAATAATCTTTAGCTGTTGCTTCTAGTGCTCACAGATGAGCTAGATGAAATTTTTGTAGATGATTAGAAAAATGTGATACTTTGTGTCTGATGAAATCATTTAGAATAAATTAATATTCTCTGTAAATATTTCTTTTTTTATTTATTCTTAGATTAAATTATTCTTAAATTTCTTTCATTGCTATAACATTATTCTCATCTAAAACTGTTCAGATTTCTGTAGTTATTGTTGTAGATAATTGCATTTGAATAAATTCTTCAGAGAATCAATATAGAAAGTAAATGAGTTTATATTTTATTTATCTCAAAAAGAGCACTTAATTATCTTCTTAAAGTTTATTCAATATTTCTTTAAAATAAGACTTAATCATTAAAGTAATTAGAGCTTCAGACACTAGATGTCATTTCTCTGATTTTGACATATTCAGTTTTTGTTATTTGAAGAAGAATTACAGAACATTATTATTTTTGAAGTATATCTTGATAGCACTTAATATGAAAGATTATCAATTCTAAGTCAAATTTACTGAAAATATATTCATTGAAAAGCTCTTGTTTCACTTAGTTATTCTCTTCATTTTCACCCAGCAATTCACTGTGATGAGTGGGAAATCTCACATCAAAGACTGAATTGTCAGTTTTGACTACTCAGACACTTTATCTGATCATCACAACACAATCATCTCTACTACAGCTCTGAAACATTGAAAATTGATTACATTTATGTCAAAGAATCAATATTCAAGAGAAAAATACTTATGTTCTCAAACTGATTAAGAATTCACTCAGTTTTGATGACTTTCTCTCAGTCTCTCACAGTGAAAAGTTTTTGTATTTCTGGCTTACTAAGTCTTAATCAGCAACATCAAAGCTGAATTGAACTCTGAACTTATATAATTATTTTATCAAACTCTATTATACTCCATCAAAGTGGTACAACTGCAGAACACAGTTAAAATTTCAGCAGAACATAGAAATTTAATCACAACTCAGTTAAAACAAAATCTTTTTAAATTCAGTTTAATATTTCTGATTCTCTGATCAATTCTCTGCATTTCTAATATTCTATCAATTTCCTCAAGCCCTGATTTTCACTTCTGAAAAGTCAAAACCATTTGCCAGTTGAGATCAGCAAAGATAAACTCAATCACAACTTAAACAAAACAACTCTTCTCTCTTTCTTATTTGTCTCAGAGACATAGACTCTCTCGGTCACTAATCTCTACATTCATCAGCTAGTGGTGGTCAAAATTGCTCTTTTATAGTTAGAATAATTATACTAAATTTGTTGATTTTCTAGCAAAGAAGAAGACTTTTTACTTACATATCATAATAGTTTCTTTCAGTTCTTCTGCAGTTGGAATTTGACTTTGTCTTGAGATACATTAGTGTCTTGCAAAGAAGAATTAAAATTGTAATCTGAGATTGAAAAAGAACTAAGTTATCTTGAATCTTAGATATTAATTCTTAGATTCTGATAAAGTTGCTTGTCACTCTTCAAAAAGACAAGAAGAGATTTTTTCCTGAGCTTGACTTCTCAGATAAACAGAAACAGCACATAAGTGCTGAAGGAAAAGAAATCTTCAAAGCATACAAGTACACAAAGAACTTGAAAGCAGAAAAAACTCCAATTCTCAACTATGTTGACTCAGATAATGAATCAAAATCTGCAGTCACATTTGATGAGAAATGCAATGCTTTCATCAGTACTCTTTTCAGAAAATCATCTGAATATCCATCAATCAATTGATCTGAATATCATGAGAGTGAGAAGTGGGAATGGCAGCAAATCACTGAGATTGAAATCAAAAGATCAGTCTTTAGTGGTTCAAAAGTTAGTGCATCTGGTTCAGATGAAATCTCTTTTCTGATCTTACAGAAAATCTATCCAGTTCTTAATGATAGATTGTTTCAACTCTATAAGAGTCTGTTTGAGAAGAACTATCATTCTGATGTCTGAAGACAAGCTGCTGAAGTCATTTTGAAGAAATCAAACAGAAATGATTCTATTTCCAAGTCTTACAGAATCATTTCACTTCTGAATTGTTTGGGCAAAGTGATGGAAAGAGTGATAGCTACTAGACTCAGTTTCTGGGCAACTACTACTGATCTCTTGTACTTTAATCAGTTTGGTGAAAAGAAACAGTGTTCTGCAA